AAAAAAAAAAAAAAAAAAAAAAAAAAAACCAACTCTACTGGTGTATGTGGCAAGGGAAAATGTAAATATATCCTCTACTTACTAATAGTCATTTCAGTCCAATGGCGTTAAACATTTCAATCAAGATCTCTAATACTTGGAAGGAATAAATATGAATGTCATGAACTGATGCACTCCATTTATTTGAATTAGCTTTTTTTTGTAAAACTGTTATTCTATTCTGAATAAAATGTATAGAATTGAAAATGGGACTTGCATTTATGCCCACTTTCCTACACACTCATTCTCTCAGAGGATTTTATTTCCCCCAAATGACACTGGAACAATATTCAGAGATAAATACCAAACTCCTTTTCATAACTTATGAGTATTTTTGCTATAAAATCTGCTGCTTATTTTTAAGACTAGTAATCAGGTTCTTTTTTTTTAGCAATCAGGTTCTTTCTGTTTTAATATAAAATATTAGATTGTCTCACATTATTTCTGTTCATATATGTTGTTCTTCAGAGGGATTATATTAAGGGAGTTTGGCCCTACCTTTTAAAATAAGAAATAACATGTATCAGCTAGAGCCATTTCTATTAAGGAATGTCTCATTAAAAAGTAGGTTTTGGGAAAAAAATGAGAATCAAGACTTGTCATGTAGAGGTACAAGATCCCAACAATGAATGTAACTGTACTGTATCCCTAAAATGTACCAATAAACTCAATTAAAGCTGAATAAAAAAAAAAAAAAAAAAAAGGATTTAAGAAGTCAACAAAGGGCTTCAAGATTACACATAAATACAAGATTTGTTAAAATTATGTTATTAAGGAAAATCATATAATCTATTTTTCTGCAGATCCTAAAGAATAAAAAGAAACTTTTCTGTGGGAAGGACCACCCCAGACATTTCTTTTGATGTATACAATTGCAAGGCTCCACCCTGAGATTTCTACAAACTTCCGCAATAATTATATATATATATATGTATAATCACAAAGTCGAAGTTCTCTGCTCCAATGTTAGCAATGTAATACACTCCAGCTTTCCCACCTGCATACAGACTTTCGACTTTGTAACCTGACAGCCAATGACACAAGCAGGGTTTTTTGTTACAATAGCAACATTTGGTGGTTCTTCTCTTCCAGTGATTGAACATCATACAGGCAACAGGTCAGGAGATGTAGGGATGCTGAACGTGGTTCCTTTCTAGGAAGACTAACAGAGTTTGGCAGTGAGGAAAATGCCCAGGCAGCAGGAAATCACACTCATCCTAGGAATCATGTGAAAGAGCAACATAAACTCAGTCAGCAGACCAGTGGGGGGGGGGTAGAAAGAAGTGATATACTTTGTGACAATACCTGGTTGTGCTTTTGAGTCTGGTGTTTTAAAAAAGTGTAAGTTGTCTTAGATATTTTACATATGGAAAAACCTCATTCCGCATCATGTTGGGTAAGTCATTCTAACTTCTTTTACTTGCTGCACTCATTGTTCAAGATATGACCAAAGCAAAAGTCTGCAAAACAGCACCTCTTCTACCTCTTATATATCGCAAAGGAATTTAACAGTGTGCATCAAGATCTGTCCTAAACCTGGTATTCCCAGCCCTCCGTTGTTGAACTTGTATATTAAGAAAATAATCTTAGCTATGAGAGGAAAGCTGTATGGATAATTCATTGCAGTACTTTTATATTAAAAATATAAATACATTTCTAAAAACCACTGAAATATATAGCATGATACTACCATCTGAGTTCTTGGTTGCAAATGGTGTAAAGAAATAGTAGCTTATTAAACAAGAGAGGAAGTTATTGAAAGGAGATCGACAGCACACAAAATCACGGGAATGGCTGGAGAAAACTGTGCCCCGCAGTGACTCTCGGGTTAGGGCAGCAGTGGGGCTCCTCTGAACATTTCCATACCCCAGCTGGGTCTGCGCTTTGTGTCCACGTCTTCAGATCCACACCCCCTATACAAGCATCAAACAGACTGAGCCTCTTCATGTGCTGTGGCTGCCGGGAAGCAGAGACGGATCTTACCCCTCTGAGCTTTGGTAGCATCTGTGAACAGGGTAGGGTAGGGGGAGTTTTGCCTCCATTTGTCTTTGAAATCCTCCAAGGCAAGTAGGATTTGATGCCAGGCATTAAAAAATTCACAACTTTCCACCAGAGTCTGTCTCTTTGATTTCCAGATAGTACCACACGTTCTTCATCACATTTCCCCTTTTAACATAAAACTATGCTGAGTGAGAGAGTGCCCGGTATAAACTGAGGCCCACTGCATGAGAAATCTGCACGTGAACTATTTCACATAGTATGCCAACTCTAGCAGATATTTAACAAGAATAGCTAACAAAAAATGAAATAAATCCTCCCACTAAACAAAATCACCCATCCAAATGTATGCACTGCCACCCCACCTTCCAGGAAAGCCAGCAGAGGGTCTCGCCCCTCCCTGCCTGCACCCAGCCCCAGCGCTGTGGTCTCCAGCTGAACTCTGTTCCTCTGTGCTTCTGGTGTGCCTCTCTGGATATAAGGCAGTGTATCATCAGAATCACTAAGCCAACCACCAACAAACACCGGGACCTATAGGACAGCGAGGGAGGAAAAGGAGATAAAAACAAATATAACTAAAAATAAAAACATATTGAAAAGAGCATATTGAGTATCTTAGTCACTGGACATAATACTCGACCCCCACAGCTCAAGAGAGGAGAGCTTTATTTTGGTTGGCAGGCTCCAAAGCAGAATAGCATGGTAGAAGGGCATGGTGGAAGTAAGGTGCCCACGTCATGGCAGCCAGGAAGCAGAGAGAGAAGGCGCCAGTAGGAGAACATAGCCTTCTAGGTCATGCCCCTTGTGAGCCATGTCCAAGCAGGCTCCACCTCCTAGCAGCAAGTCAGCTATACCTCTGTAATCCAATGACCTTCCACACACCTGGGAATCTGGAGGGCATTCTAGGTCTAAACCGTGACAGTGAGGAAGAGAGGTGGAGGCCACAGACTTTGTTCCTATTCCTTCTCGAGAGCCACTTCTGGGAAGTAGGATCTGCTTTCTTTACCTCTCATTCTGTGCTCCTCTTGCCTTTACCAGGTCCCATGACCCAAACCTTCTTTCCTGAGGATTCTGAGCCTTTCATGCTTGCAGAAGAGTGCTCTGATGTTATGCTTTGCCTCAGATGCGACAGTGATGCCCCTGAGTTCCTGCAGCTGTTTCCATTCAAGATCCAGGACCAATCACCCCAGCGAGCATTAAAATACCCTCTTTCTTCTCGCCTGTTTATCCTGTAAAATGTGAAGCCCGAAACAGCCGAATCTTGGTATGTGTTTCAATTCAATGGAAGGAGTGTTCTGCCGTCTAGTAAAAACATATTTCCTTACGGACCAGAGCCCAGAGTCACAGGCACAGAAGAACATCTTTGCTGCTAAGTCACTTGGATATCAGTGGAGCAGTGTCACGTGTGTTTCCACTCGTGGTTTCAGATCCAAGTATTTTGCCTACTGGATGCTCCATCAGCTTTCACTGTAGAAGGCACAGATCTACCTCCCAAGAAAGAGGATTTGATGCGAGTAGCCGACAAGAAACAAAACAAAACAAAATTACGAGTGTAAAGTATGTTAAAGCACCTCAGTGGAGTGAGGCCCATGTATTAAAGGTTGGTCCCAGCCTATGGTGCTATCAGGAGCTGGTGGTGCCTTTAGGAGGCGGGGCCTACTGTGAGGAAGTGAGGTCACTGGGGTCAAGCCCTGGAAGGGGATATTGGGATAGGCCACCTTTCTGGTTTTCTTTTCACTTCCTGGCCGCCAGGAGGTGATCAGGCTTCCTGGGCCACTAGCTCTATGTTGTACAAAGCAAAGGGTCAAACTGCTATGAGCTGAAACCAGGTGAAACTGAGCCAAAATAAAGGTTTCCTCATTTTAAGTTTATTATCAGAGTAACAGAAAGCTAACACCACTCCTCTACATGGCAAATAATCAACAATATGATGAAAAGCTGCGTGTGGTGGCACAGGCCTATAATCCCAGCACTCGGGAGGCTGAGGCAGGAAGATTGCTGTGAGTTCAAGACCAGCTTGGGCTACACAGTGAGTTCCAGGTCAGTCTCAACTACGTAGTGAGACCCTGTCCCAAAAAACAAACAAACAAACACAATATAATGAAAAGATACAATTGAATTCTTCTATGAAATATTGAAATGCATCAGCATGCATACATTTCCTGGACCTGTGGTGTAATTGCCCTAGTACTTACTTAAATTTGACTTGGCTGAAAACCACACGTACCCAGCACTGGAAGGTCTGGTAAGTTTGTGAGGGACCAATACAGAAGTCTATGCTGCAGGGGATGGAACAGGGCCAGGAGTAACAGACCCAAGGTGTGAAATGAATGGTGGCCAGAACTGTGGCCACCAAGACTGGCAAACGACTGTAACGGGGCAGCAGGTAGGATCTATGACAGCGGGTGTTGATGGTGGAGTGAGAGGACAGCCAGAGAATGAAGGAGCTGTGGATAAAGGCTGGGCCAGGAAGTGCGGGAAGCCCTGTGAGCAGAGGGCCGGGGAAGCGCTTGGAACCCAGGTTGTCTCATCAGAAAATCAGCAGAGACACCGGGAAACACGCTGATCATGAGGCAGCCGGGGTGCTCCAGGAAGCAAAGTCCTATCTTTGCTAGATTTCAAACCAGGGCCAGCGAAGCGGGGGCTCGGCACCAGGTGAGAACAATTGAGCAAATTAGGCACCATGGTCCAAAATGACAGAAATCCAAAAGCAGATCCTGGCAAGGGCCTGTGAGCCTGAGGGGACACGGGCTGCGAACTGCTGTCCCGAACCATCCTCCCCTTCTTCTTTTGGCAACAGAAGTCTCCTGGTCTTAACTCAGCACATAGTGCCTCGCTAGGGAGGCTGAA